TATATTTTCAAAGACGATTATTTCACCAGCGAAGTTACTATCAACCCAAAGAAGCACGTGAGTTGATTTTCATTTTCATATTAATGCGAATCTGAAGACAAAATTTCGTAGCATACGTGCATGGTTGCATTATGATCAATTCTTAGAATTGCATGCTTATATAGAGTTTGTCCGCAAACAAGAAATTTTGGCCTCTTGTATCAAATTTTCAATTTGGCCCCGGAAATCGTAGCAATATCTTCTTACAAGCAATTTATATGATTTTGCTGTTGCTATGTGTCCTCCTAAATCTTTGCAATATTAGCCATTATAAATAGTAATCGATGTCCGAAAATGACGATTACTACGTTAATAGATGTATGTTTCCGAATATTACAAATTGGCCTCGAAATAGCTGCTATGTGTCCGAATATTACAGTTTGTTCAAGAATTTTTTTACAATATACCCCTGTTTGTCAGGATGACGCATCTGAAAATCGTTTCATCCAATAACGCAATGATCTGTACCAAGAGTCAATGCAGTCTAAAATGGTCTGTGTCAAGCACATTTTTAAAAATTGTGATACATGAACCATTTTTACTTGAAATTTATGATCATCCAATCATTGATCAGAAAATCTGAATTGCATTGCGGCCTTTTAATTAGTTCTAGTTTACACGTTTTCTTTATTGATTTAAAATCTGATCGTTTATTGCAGTGTCAATTATAAAATGGAAAAATTCCCCATGAATTTGTTCTCTTCGGAAATTTTATAGGTTTCTTATTTCCAGGAAAGAAATAAAAAGGTTAAAGATGTCAAGCTATATTTGTTATAAAATAGAAGAACATAGGCTTTTCCATATCGGATTATTTCAATTTAATCCAGTAACCGTTTAAATGATAATGGTTATTTCAAAACCCTCTTAATTATTAATCTTTTCGTTTACATTTAGCTGTGTATAAAGAGAAAATTATCAGTTGTCGGAAATGCTATAATAGTGCTATCAGTATTTCATTATGCTTTTAAGATTTTAATAGTTTTATCGAGTTTATCTCATTGATATTGTGTCAATTACAACATTCTATCTGCCCACTTAAATCCAATCACTCTACTATTAACACCATCTGAACACAGTAAGCCTACTTGTAGTAAAAGATTTCTATCAATAGCGTCGCTTGTATTAAACGATAGCGTTGTAATTTATATTGAAAGAGCCTCTTGTCGTATAAGTTTTGCATTATAACAGCACTTGTACACTTTTTTCAAGGATTTCTATTGTAAAACAAAAGCGTTTTTAGAATTGAAAATGCCTAAAAGGTCAAAGGTATTTTTTTTATAGTGCCAAGGTGTAGGAACTCAAAAATCTCAATTGACAGAAAAACTACTTCTTAAAAAACCCGTTTTTCACGGGGTGATGCAGCCAAAACCCATACAAAATTCTCCTTTCAAACTTCATCATGAGAGTATCATAAATGGACACCGAGAAAGTGCTTGATTTCCTAATTTTGTGACGCCTTGATGTTTATTAAGCTGGAAGTAAACGTGTCCGTAAGCGCAACCCAAGTTGATTTTGCGTGTGAGTACACAGCTTTACGCCATGCTTAGTTACAAAACAATGCAGTGAAAGAGATCGTTAGTTTTGGTACACATAAAATTAACGGAATAACACCGAACCCTTCTATAGTCAACAACTATACATAATATAACAATACACATTAAAATACTGTTGGTTTCGTTCAACTTAATTCAATCGATTAAAAAAAAATATTGGTACGTTGCAAAACTAATTATGGTTTGTCGACTTGTCATCAATTCATTTGCAACAAATGTTAACATTTAATCAATCAAATGTGGAATTATGTACTCGGTTGAGAAATCTAAGTAAAGATTCATAAGTGTTACCATATTCATTCTTAATCAATACTAAATCTATAAATATACAGTTTATTATGAATGTAATTTGGTTCCATCACTTCTATAAGGTAACATAGATAGAACGATTTTCGCTTCCTATGACGTTATAATTCGTCTACACCTTAAGCGTAGAATATTTTGGCCAGGACTAGAATACACTTACTGCTTAGGCTTTTGCCACGAAACACACTTGGAACATGGCCTATATTGGCACCATTTAATATATTAGACATGAATAAAGGGCTGTAATCAAGGGTTATATTAGCTAGGAATAAGGGACTTCGAACCACGGGCTATATTAGCTATATGTCACGGGCATCTATGAATCACGTACTATATTAGTTGCTTTGAAACCATAATAGCTATGAACATAGGGCTATTTAACCTATAAAGCATCGATAATTAGGGCTATGAACCATAAACTTAATAGTAATAGCAATGAACTGTACCACGGGTTATATTGCCTATGAACAAAGGGTTATATAAGCTATGAATTACGGGGTATATTGGTTAATTAACGAATGCTAGCACCAGTTGATCCAAAGGTTGTTCTTGTGCGTTGTTAAGTCGTCAAAATTGGTTAGTCAGAAATCTTTTCCAAATAATTAATAAAGAAGTTCAAGTTCGCAGTAGGCCACGTTAAAGATTTATTTTAATTGGTACCATTAGTATTATATCACATCTGTTAGTAATATTTTTATATAGAATCAATGGGATTTCGTAAGTTTCCGTTCAGGTAATATCAGATTTGTTAAATAATCAGCTTTAATTGTATTACGTTTATGATCGATCACGGAGGTGTCTCGCTGTTTTCACTCCTTCTCTTTAAAACTAATGAGATTTAGTTTTTACTGCATTCCAGACTTCTATAGCCTATTGAAAGACGATTATACAGTTATGTGCCAACCTGTGCTTGTTTGCTAATAGAAGCAAGGCTGTAAATTTGCAACGCGGTTCAGATCGGATGTAATGAACGGTTTCTCAATTTCGAGATCTTGCGAACGTATTTACCGTTACGGTTGCATTGATATCAAGATAAAATATCAAATCTGGTTTGGTACCTCAAAAAGATCTTTCACTTGTAAACGTATTTACCGTTTAGGTTGACAACAATATTGCTATCAGCGAAAGAGAACATTTTTTAGGTAAAATATTAAATCTATTTTGACACCACTTACATACTGCTCTTTATGGCCAAGTCGAAACATGTCCGAACCTAAAAGATTTTATTTTACCTCCACTGAAACGTGAATTGATGCCGTTGATGGTGAGGCATAGTAAACCGACTTTTTCACTCATGAATTCATGAATAGAATTGTCAACTAAGCATCTTTTTCGTAGCGTTCACATTTCAACTAATTATGCATATTTATCCTGCATACATATTTTATTTTGCCCAAAAGCTTGACAACTAAAATTATACGGACTCATTTGATAATGCCATGCATCAGAACCTCAATACTACTTACATAAAATAGATAAACGCGAATGAACTTCAATATGATCATCCGCCAGTTGTGGACTCCCTCTTTTACTGAATTGGTGTTCACAAGCAACTATGCAGTCTCTATAGTTGCCTACCATTCCCAATAAAGCTGAACGTAATGGACCCATTCTTTCTCGATCATCGGCTGCTGATATTAATGATCTGATAAAATCCTGGAATGTTACGCCTGAAAAATATCAAAGGAATGCTTTTTGATTAAAAATTGATTACGAAAATAGTTAGGGCACGCGTTCGCTGATTTGTACATGGTTTTTGGATGCCCTTGAGCTGACATGTAAAGAAAGAAAGAAATACAACAAATTTTACAATGATAACAATTTGGTTCTTGAAGATCTTGTCTACCAAACTCACTGGCATTATTGTTTCCCGGATTATCAGTATCCATTTATAGTTGAGTCGACTGGAAAGATGACTCATTGAAGGTCGTGAGACTTTCGCATGTAGACCGTGACAAGAACTGTTAATCTCTATTGTTCAACCAAGATAAGATTGCTGCTGCAATAGAATTAAATGTGGTTTGGTCGACCACTCATCTGTATTCTTTTCGTGTTTTCAACACTTTTTTTATTTGACAATTGGAATCTAAAACAAACCAATTTCCTATATATAATTAGTGTGGCTAGAAATAGATCACAACCGTGGTCTTTTAATAGTATTGAAGTTTTAATGACTTCTATATAAAGATGTAGAAAATTAGACAGCGTGGACCGGAAGTTGTTTTCAACAGCATGTCATGAAAGCCTATTTTCGTGTTGTAACTTTTACTAACTTGTGCCTGTATCGTGATGATTGATCTTAAGCTTTGGTCTAATAGCACTTGTCCAAACCACGCCCCCACTCGCATTACTTCCTCGAGAATGGTCTTATTAACCCGTATTAGGGATACGGCCGCATCTAATGTCGCTGTTTTTTTATCGTCATTTTGAGGTTTTTTGTTTGGTACATTATATAATATGTAATATACGTTGTATAATTGCGTGCATTCTTGACATTCTTTTTAATTAATTTTTTAACTATTTTACACGAAAGTCTCACAAAAAATAAGATAATCGTCAATACCAATTAAATTTCGTTTCTCTGTCTAAAGAATGACGTGCTATTATGTCCTTTACTTACTTTGTAAAATGTTCGCATCTTAATTTTTAAACTTTGAGTGTTGGTTCTACGTTTACTCGCATGCATGCTTTGGGAGTGGTTTGTAACCTTCTTGCATTCTTTAGGAGTAGTTTGTATCCTACTGTACAATTTGGGAATTGGTTAACGTGCATTCGAAGTTTGTATACATTTAGTGTTGTTGTTTCTACGTTCCTTTGGATGCGTACTTTTGGAGTAGTTTGTACCCTACTGTACAATTTGGAAGTTGTTTGTACATTATTGGTATGAAATTGGTGTTATTTGTATTTAATACATTGTGAGTTGTTTGTACGTGTACTTTCATATTTTGGAAGCTGTTTGTACATTATTTGTATGAATTTGGTGTAATTTGTATTTAATACATTGTAAGTTGTTTGTACATGTACTTGCATACTTTGGAAGCTGTTTGTACATTATTTATATGAATTTGGTGTAATTTGTACTAGTGATTAATTCATTGTGAGTTGTTTGTGCCATACTTTGAGTACTGAAGGAGTTTCTCATAGCATACTTGCATACGCTGGATTTTGTTTGTAAATGATTGAACTCTTCCCCTAGCAATCTAAATAAAATGCCAGTCATATGTTCAGTTCTTTGCCTTTTTATGTCAAAACAGGCCTTAATACTGATGTAAGTGTCCTCTTGGAGGAGCAGTTTCAAGGGCACCATCCTAGAACATAAGTCTAAGGTGCATGAGTGCTGAGCTACCAGGGCCCTGAAAGTGCATTAAAAAACATCATGACTGCTTTATCTGCCATAAATGTAAATTGTAAACAGTTCTGTGACTTTATCCTTTGAGAAATTCCAGGACTCATCCAGACTTTGTTTTTGTGAAGCTAAGTAAGGCCATGAGAGTCCACAAGGTCACAAATATTATTCTATTATTTGTTTTTCTTTGGGAATCAAAATCTAGGAAGATTTAACAACACGCAACTAGTTTGACACTAATCAGTCAAATTCTGCGATTTCCGACATACATAATTAATCACTGAATTATCTATGATACCTTTAAGTAATTACATTTCCATTATTATCATTCGTTATATCATTCCCTACAACACAGAACCATGAACAAAACAAGGTAACTTCGTGTGCGAAATCCTTCCATGCTGCTATCTTCGCACTATTGTTAATTGATTTTTGACGATTATTAAACAGTGACTTCTAATATGAGCTTCAAAACAATTCTTGTAACCTTCGAATGACTTTGTATTGAAGAAAATATAAAATATATTTTAGATATTTAACCGTCCTTAATGTTAGCTGAAAATTGCCCTCTGAAAAATTGATATGTGCCAATCCATTTTTTGAAGAGTTTTTATTAAAACTAAAGTCACATAAGAATATTCGGTAAAATACGCTTGCCCGATAAGAATTCGTAGAATGAAAATGAACAAAATGGTTGTCTTGCCTCTGTCATATGCGGCAATAACGAATTGGTCTGTTGATAACGTAAAGTGCTAATATAGCAACCTTTTATCTGTAAAACTTTTCGTCAATTGACTTTTAGTGTATTAGGGTTTCTTTCACTGTCCGTATTGAGGATGGGTTGATTGGATTTCATAGGCATCATAGATATCTCTCCTGTATTCCTTCACAAACGAAGGGAGTAGGCCTACAAGTTGTTCCACAGGAAAACCGGGAAGCTGTTTCAGGGTGAAGCATTTCCAACAATTTTATATTCTATGATTTCACAGTTGACGTCGGTCTGTCATATTGTGAAAGCGATTGAAATTTAAAAAAGACTATTCCAAGAGCTAAATCTTTTATGAGGTCTTTTAGCAGCCTTTTTCAAGAAGGTTCTCATTAAAACAGTGATTAGATGAAATCCGTTTTTAACTTCTACTTATACCATTGGGAAAACAACATCTTTGAAGTCACCGAAGTAAAGACAAATAAGATTAAGTGCAGTTCGATAAAGTATTATATATTGTCAAATCTGAGATATTAACACCAATTTTCATGACGTGAAATTCAATGAAATTTCTGCTATTATCTTGATTTTGTGATAACGGACATTCAACTTAGATTTTTTTTGTAATTTAAAGTTATTAGATGATGTAAATGTAAAGCAGATTATGTAAAATAATATAAAAAATATTGATATTGAAACGTTTTTGGTTTAAATATGCGAAGTATTGTGGTTTTCTACTATAGCAATCTTAGTATTGATATGCTTGACTCTTTATTCTGTATCCCAACCAGGTAGCTCAACCAAGTACTATGTAGCTCGATCAAATACTCTGTAACTCGACCATGTACTCTGTATCTCAACCACGTGCTCTGTAGCTCGACCACATATTATGTAGCTTAACCAAGTTTTCTGTAGCCTGAATAAATACACTGTAGCTGAACAAATTCTCTGTATCCTGACAAAGCACTCTGTAGATCAAACAAGTACTCTGTAGCTCGAAGAAGTACTCCGTATCCCGACAAAGTATACTGTAGCTAGGCCAATTGTTCTGTAGTCCTACCAAGTACTTTGAGTCCGTAAGAATACTCTGTAGCCCGACCAAACACTCTGGACCCCGGCCAGGTACTGTCCGACTCGACCAGGTACTCTGGATCTCGACCACATATTGTGTAGCCCGACCAGGTTCCTTTAGGCCCCACCTATTACTCCGTATCTCGACAAGGTACTCTGCGTGACGTGAAGAGATTATCGAAAGGCTTTATAGAGAGAGGTGTTTTTATCAGGGTGTTAATGACATTGAACATTGTCTAATTAACTGATACATGTACGAAACATTCTAATATATAGATTACCTTTATGTGCTGTCACACCCTGACACTACATGTCTTTCATATTTGGCTGTTATCTGCCATGATTTAAATTTTTTTACACCTGTTTCGAGCAGAAAACGTCATGCATTGTCTTATATTATTATTGCCTATAAAATCGTTTGATGTTTCTTGGACCGCGATGACTTAACGAGCGTTATTATTAACCAACTTGGGGTTCCTGGCCTGCAGTAGTTCTAAAGAGTGACTTTTTTTTTTATCTCCCTGTCAGTGGTGAAGATCGACGGACTGCCACAAAATAGCAGATCCATCGAAAAAATTGAAAGGTGTATACTAATGCAACTGTTCACCCTGTGCTGCATGGACTTGTCTACTAGCCATTAAAAGTAGTTTCAAATGTATATTGAAGATATATAAGAAGATCCCATATTGGATCTTGACCATAGTATTAATAATTCCTTCGGAGATTGGTATGCCATGTATACAATAAAGCGTCATAAATATCGTAATAATTCAGAATGCGCATCAGTCGGCAACAGCACACAACACCTTAGTGATATCCATTTATTACTTATGCAAAATTTGTGAAATATTAAAAATTTGTATATTTACCTGTTAAAGATCTCCGTCTTACAGAAAGAATCCATAAAGATTTAAGTCTATTAAGTCTAGGATTCGCCTTTTCACATCTATTTTCACATAATGGCGACGATACACAAAAACTTAGAAAAGTCGTTAAAATCACAAAACACAGCGGAATTCTTTTTAGCTTATCTCCTTCCGGCATTCCCTGGCGAAAAATAAAAGAAAAGTGAGAAGTCATCAGAGAAGCAGACTCAAGATATGATAAGTTGGCACATCGATTTTCTTCAAGCAAACCAAGTTTTAACGGTGGATGGAAAAAACAACGCCTACAAGATCAGCATTTCTAGGCATGTCTTCCTTGATATTTCATCTTATTTATCGGAATTTGGATATGATTTTAGTAGGTGGGAGGTGGGATTAAAGTTTCTAGCATTTTTTGCGTCATTCTGATGATTCAAAGGATCATTGCTCATAAAAAAAGTACACAGGGTTTGGCTGGATGTTCAATGTGAACGCAATAGATTACCACCCTATTAAACTTAACCACCACCCGCTTTTCAATGTTTCTCAGCGTTAACTACGCAGCACGTAGCCTACGATAGATGTGCTTGCTCTACGACATTGTGCTATGGTGTATTGGGGTGGAGAGATAAAGCACATTCCTTGGTGACATAGCTCTGGTACTTCTAATGTGTAAATCTGTTTGAGTATTGCTTACAAAGTGCAAGGAATGTGTCATTTTTTGCCCTATGTAATATGACACCAAGGCAATTATCTGGTATTGAAAACCGTAAGTGTTCAAATTTCCAATAACATGATCTCGGTAACATTATGTGCACATCAATTTGTAAAGATGTGGGCAAATACTGACGCATTCATGTTATTTACGACAAACAAACTATGATTTGTGATAACAGATTGGTT